AGAACAAACTGAGGGTTGATGGGGGGTGGGAGGGAGGGGAGGGTGGGTGATGGGTATTGAAGAGGGCATCTTTTAGGTTGAACACTGGGTGTTGTATGGAAACCAATTTGACAATAAATTTCATATATTGAAAAAAATAATTGATCCATTTAATCTTTTGAGGCATAACAGCCTATACATTATGTTTAACTTTGTATTATTCCTTATCATCAGTATTTTGATGTATGTCTAAATAGAGAGACCCATGTAGTAGTTTCTCCTGTGAATTCTGTGACATTTATTGACATTGGATGCTCAATTAAATATTTCTCTAAATATTTATAACTTTCAAGTTACCTTCTTTTATGCACTGTCTGGTGTTGGCTAAAGTGTTCTTTACTATGAAGGCCTTTCCTCATTCATTAGGTCTGTAGGATTTAATCTCATGTGTTTTTTGGGATATTGATTAAGGATTCAATTCCACTTAAAAGCATGGCAACTTTCTCTACATGTTAGTTTCTCTCCTGAAAGATAGCTATGATCTTGAACAAGTTGTGAGTTCCAGCTTTGGTTGGACACATTCTTTACCTCTGTAATGTTTCTCCTCAGTATAAAGTCTGAGATATTGAGAAGGGTTCAGTAGTCACAAAAGTTTTACCACATTCTTCACATTTAAAGTTTCTCTCCAGTATGAATTCTGTGATACAGAATAAAGCTTCACCTCTTATTTGTAAGCTTACCAAATTCTTATATTTGCAAAATCCTCCCCAGTATACCTTCTCTGGTCAGGAGTCAGGGTTTAGCATTGCTTAAACACCTGGCCACATGCTTTAGTATTCAATGGTTATATTCCAGTGTAAAATTTCCAATGTAAAGTAGGGGGTGAGCAGTCCACAAAACATTTTTCAAATTCCTTAAATTTGGAAGATGTACTCCAGTATGAATTCTGTGATAATGACTCAAGTTTGAAGAGTGATTAAAGACCTTATTACATTCTTTACATTGTTAATATTTCTGTCAAGTATGAATTCTGTGATGTTGAGTAAGTTGTAAGGGTCGGGTAAAGACCTGGTCACATTCTTTACATTTGTAAAGTTTCAATCAGTATGAATTCTGTGATGTTTAATAAGGTGTGACTGTTGGCTAAAGGCCTTGCTACATTCTTTACGTTGGTGAGATTTCTCTTCAGTATGGATTCTGTGATGTCGAGTAAGCTGTGGATAGTTCTTAAAGGCCTTGCCACATTCTTTACATTGGTAAGGTTTCTCTCCAGTATGAATTCTGATATGTTGAGTAAGGTATGAGGACCATTTAGAGGCCTTGCCACATTCTTTACATTGGTGAAGTTTCTCTCCAGTATGGATTCTGTGATGTTGGTTAAGGTGTGAGAGCTGTTTCAAGGCCTTGCCATATTCTTTACATTGGTAAGGTTGCTCTCCAGTATGGATTCTGTGATGTCTAGTAAGGACTGAGGGCTGGTTAAAGGCCTTGCCACATTCTTTACATTGGTAAGGTTTCTCTCCAGTATGGATTCTGTGATGTTCTGTAAGCTTTGAGTGATGGATAAAGGCCTTGCCACATTCTTGACATTTGTAAGGCTTCTCTCCAGTATGCATTCTGTGATGTTGAATAAGGGATGATTGCTGGCTAAAGGCCTTGCCACATTCTTGACATTTGTAAGGTTTCTCTCCAGTATGGATTCTGTGATGTCCAGTAAGATCTGAGGTGCAGGTAAAGGCCTTGCCACACTCTTTACATTGGTAAGGTTTTTCTCCAGTATGAATTCTGTGATGTTAAGGTATGAGTGCCACTTAAAGGCTTTGCCACATTCTTTACATTGGTAAGGTTTCTCTCTGGTATGGATTCTGTGATGTTCCTTAAGGTATGAGTGCCATTTAAAGGCCTTGCCACACTCTTTACATTGGTAAGGTTTCTCTCCAGTATGGATTCTGGAATGTCGATTAAAGCCTGAGGGCCAAAAAAAGGTCTTGCCACATTCTTTACATTGGTAAGGTCTCCCTCTAGTATGAATTCTGTGATGTTGAATAAGGCTTGAGGGCCAGTTAAAGGATTTGCCACATTGTTGACATTCCAAAGATTTGTCTCCAGCATGAATTCTGTGGTGTTTAGTAAGAGGTGAGTCTTGGGTAAAGGCCATCCCACCTTTTTTAAGTTTGTAATGTTTCTCTCCAGTATGGATTTTCCTGTGTCCATTTAGCAATGACCCATACTTAAAAGTTTTACCACATTCTTCACATTTGTAAGGTCTCTCTCCAGTATGCACTAGGTGATTTTGAATTAGTGTTGAGTGCCAGTTGAAGGCTTTGCCACATTCCTTACAAATGTAACCTTTCTGTCCAGCATGGATTGTCTTATTGATATTAAGTCTTGATGACTGACTAAACATGTTCCCAGGTTCATTGCATGTGTACGGGTTTTTTCCCACAGGACTCCTCAGATGATCACCAACATTGGAGGACTGGTTAAGAATTTTCCCACACTCAGTATATTCAGAAGGATTCTCTCCCAAATGTATTCTCTTCTGTCTAATAAGGTTTGAGCTTTGATAAAAGACTTCCCTACATTTAGTACAGTCACAATGGTTCCCTGGCAAAGGAGTCCGTAGATATTTATTAACATTTGAATCCTGGTTCAATATTTTCTCATATTCACTGCAATGAGCAATTGTTTTCATTGAAAATGCTGTGGTTTTGTTGTAAGGTCGACTGCTCAGGGAAGGACCCCTCAAATGGATAACACTTACCATTTTTTTCTTCCTTTTTCAATATCTGACTTTCAGAAATATTTGACTGAAAGGTTAATGCAATCCTATTGTCAAAATGGTGCAAAGAAGTATTTTCAGCATGGACTAGGTCACTTTCCAGATTCTCCAAATTTTTGTTCTGCAAATATGTCTGTTTGACCACTTGATTTGAGCCTTTGACTATAGAAGCAAACTGCCTTGCAGAAGTAGCCATCTTAGAAAGGGTGGTTTTCCAAAATGTTTTAAATCCTTCACCGTTTTGGGCGGTGAGACTTGTATAATGGGCAGTTGTCTCTGTTTGCATATGTGCTCCATGAGATCTTTGTTTCCTTTGTCTCTCCCCAACACTGTTCCAGTCTATCACTAAGCATCCATTCTCACGGGCACAATGTTTACATCTATCCACTAACACTCTTTGGAAAGAAGTTTGTCTGCACATTTTTGGAAGGGGGCTCTGGGCATCATTTGAAGATACAGCTGATAGGTAATGGATAAAAGTAAAATCATCTCACTTTCTGCTGTCAGATAAATACAATTAATATTTCTTATACACAAAACTGAAATCAGAGAACTTTCACTTCAAGAAAAATGAATCATTAGTCTTTCTACCATACTCAGATTGTATTTGAATTTAATCCCAAATATGTTTTTATAAACTTACTGTTGGCATATTTTACAACATTGACGGTGTTTCTTTATTTAGAAATGAAAAGTTTTGGCATGCCTGGGTGGCTCAGAGTGTTGCACATCTGACTCTTGGTTTCAGCTGAGGTCATTGTCTCACCGTTTATGAGTTCCAGCCCCACATCCCGCTCTGCACTGACAGTGTGGAGCCTGCTTGGAATTCTCTTGTCTATCTTTTCCCTTCCTCCACTCTCTCTCTCTGTTTCTCAAAATACATGAAAAAAAAACTTAAGAAAATGAAAGTTTTCTGCTTGCTTGATTCTAAAGAAATGATTACACCCTTAAATTCTGTGTAATAATATCTTTTAAGTGCTTAATTCATAAGGGTTTTCATTAAAACTTTCCATGGTTGATATTAATATACTTTACAGTTTTACTGTCCATGAAGACATGCCAATAATTCCAAATGTTTGCTTTTTTCATGGGTACACAATCAGAGTTTAGTATTATAGCTACAGGGGCATCTAGGTGGCTCAGTAGGTCCAGTGTCCAACTTCAGCTCAGGCCATGGTTTCATGGTCCATGAGTGGGAGTCCCCTGTCGGGCTCTGTGCTGAGAGCTCACAGCCTGGAGCCTGCTTCAGATTCAGTGTCTCCCTCTCTTTCTGCCCCTCCCATGTTTTGCACTCTGTCTCTCTCTCTCTCTCTCTCAAAAATAAATAAATAAACATTAAAATTTTAAAGAAAGGAAACAATTTATAATCATAGTGACAAAGGGGATCCTGGGTGGTGGCTTAATTGGTTAAGAGTCCAACTATTGATTTCGGCTCAGGTCATGATCTCACATTTTAGGAGTCAAATCCTGCATTGGGCTCTGCAGTGACAGGGGAGAGCATGCTTGGGATTCTCTCTCTCTCTCTCTCTCTCTCTCTCTCTCTCTCTGTTTCTCTGTTCCTCCCCTCCTTGTGCTCTCTCTTCAAATAAAAAATAAAATTATAGATTTCCTTTAAATAATTCACCTTTTTTTATGTAGAAGTTTTTGGCTTATATTTTGTCTTATTCTGGTTTTGCAATTCCATAATAATGTGCTTCCTTTTGTATGGGACTTTCCACAGCTTTATTTTTCAACCTCAACTTTAGGTGTGGTTTTGTTTTTTACCTGTGTATTTTGTTATGGGGTGACAATTTTCAACTCATTACATTTTCAGAAAATATCAGTGTAACTCAAATATGAATCAGCTTTATGCCCTCTGCCAACAAAATTATCTAAGTATTTGCATGTAGAAATATTACACATGCTTACTTTGTGAATCATCCTGTGTATTTCTTTCCTGGGTTAGTGGTCAGTGAATGTTGTTTCATGTCTACATGAGTTGTCATAATAATAGAATTAATTTCATTATCTATTTATTGGTGTACATATTTATTGTGTACATATTTTCATTGTGGTTTCCTTAGGGATTACTTAAAATATCTTAAAGGTATAACAAACCATTATATGTGCTGCTGGCAGAGAGCTTGACACAGGGCTTGAACTCACAAACTATGAGACCATGACATAAGCCAAAATCAAGGGCCAGACACGTAACCAACTGAGCCACCCTGATGCACCTATGTAGCTATAATATTAAACTGTGACTGTGTACTCATAAAAGAAAAGGAACATTTTGAATTATTGGCATGTCTTCATGGACAGTAAAATTTTAATGTATATTCACTAAAATCAAAAGCTCTAATGAAAATTCTTATGAATGAAGCAGTTAAAAGGCATGAAAAAGTGTATTATGTTAATAGATATCTCCATTTACACAGAATTTAAGGGTATAATCCATCCATAGAATCAAGCATACAAAAACCTTTCCTTTCTTTTAAGTTTTATTAAGTATATTGAGAGAGAGAGAGAGAGAGAGAGAGAGTGTAGGAGGGACAGAGAGAGAGGGAGAAAATCCCAAGCAGGCTCCATGCTGTCAGGGCAGAGCTGGATACAGGGCTAGAACTCACAAACTATGAAGTGGTCATGAACTGAACTGAAATCAAGAGTCAGATGCTCAACCCTCTGAGCCACACAGGTGTCCCAAAAACTTTCATTTCTAAATAAGCAAACACCATCAGCATTGTAAATAGGCCAACAAGCACTTTATTTAAAAACAAACAGGGGCGCCTGGGTGGCGCAG